TTTATACCAGCAAGCAAATCACTCTTGGGTCTTTCTGAAATTTAAGTCTTTGTGTCCTGAAGGTCAGAAGGTAAAGTGATTTCTTTCCACTCTATGGTCCCTGATGAGGATTCAATGTATAATTTCTATTTAAAAGTCAGCTGTTAGTCTTATCTTTGCCCCTTTGAAGAGAGTATCTTTTTTCCTTTGGCAAATTAACAATAATGTGCTTAGGTGTGGTTTCTCTCTCTCTCTCTCTCTCTCTTTTTGATTGTGATTTGGGTGAAAATTTACAGAGCAAATTCACTTTCCACACAGCCGTTCACATACACTTTTTCTCATGATATTGATTACAATTTACCTCAATGCAACAGCTCCCCTCCCACTTCCTCCCGATAGTTACCTCTTCCCTGTGTCCATCTGTCCATTCACTCCTGCCCCCTGAGCTGTCTCTCTGTGCAGAAATAGCCCTTCTTTCTCCCATGATTGTTCTCTCCAAGGAATATAACTACCTCAGGTAAATGTGCAACTTATCTGCCTGTCTTTTGTTTGACTGGAAGCCACGGGTGTGGGTTCAATTCCAGACCTGAAGGGCAGCTAGGGGCTATAGTTTCAGTGGTCCCACCAAGCTCTGTCAGACCAGCAAACCTGGTCTCCCCGCCCCTTTTTTTCCCCAAATGATTTTGAGTTTTGTTCCACATTGTTCTCCCTCTCTATCCAGGATCTCCTACATAGATCCCCCTCCAAGTGGTTGAAAGTGGTAGCCGAGCACCATCTAGTTCTTCTGGTCTCATAGTTGTATAGGCTGCAGATTGCATGGTGTACCAGTTGCTGGGCCTAATTGTTTCCATGAAACTTTAGTTTTCTTCATTCTTCTTTGCTCTGGATGAGGAGAGAGCCATCTTTGCATCTAGATGGCTGCTTGCAAGCTTTTACGATCCCAGTTGCTACTTGCCAAAGTAGGAGGTGGAACAATGTTTTGTGTAGTATGTTATGCCAATTGAGCTTGATGTTGGTCGCGAATCCACAGGTTCAACTCCTTGATCCCTCTGGGTAGCTGGCTGTGACCAAGAAGTGACTACAACCTTGGCCCTTGTCAGCTCTACTATACACCTGGGAATTCAGGTGTATAAGTGTATACTAATACACTTATAGGACTGTTGTCTGCCAACCTTATACATGGTCTTGGGTATACTCCCCGCTACATAGACCTATCTAATAGTTCAGCCTGTCCACCCATCTGTCCACCTGTATACCCATGTTTGCCTTCTCTGACAGCACAGTAGTGTATGTGCAAAAGGGTTTATCTTTGTTGTCTGTACCTCCCATGTATCTCTGTATGTCTTCCTCTTCCTCAATGCCACCGTGTTGATCACTCACATTTGGTATATTGCATTTCTCTTCACCCACATCAATACTTATCTCTACCTATCTAACAGTGTTCCCTCCCCTACCCTCCCACCCCTGGTAACCAACAAAGAAAATTTCCTTCCATATCTAAACTTTTCCTTGACTTTTACAATAATGGACTAATACAATATTTGTCGTTCTGTGATTGACTTATTTCACTCAGTGTAATGTCCTCCAAGTTCATCTACATTATGCGGTGTTTGGCAGATTCTGTGTTATTCTTTAGGGTTGCATAGTATTTCATTGTGGATATGGACCATAGTTTGGTTATCCATTCCTCAGTTGATGAACACCTAGGTTGTTTCCATCTTTTGGTTATTGTAAATAATGCTGTGATGAACATGGGTGTACATATGTCTGTTCTGGTCATGGCTCTCACTTCTTTAGGATATATACCTAGTAATGGAATGGCTGGGTCAAATGGTACTTCTAATTCCAAATTTTTAAGAAATCACCATACTGCTTTCTACAGTGGTTGTACCATTTTACAGTCCCACCAGCAGTGTATGAGAGTCCCAATCTCTCCACATCCTTGCCAGCATTTGTTATTCTCTGTCTTGTTGAAATTTGCTACTAGTGCTGGATCAAGATGGTATCTCGTTGTTTTGATTTGCATCTCTCTAATGGGTAATGATCA